GAACACTGGGCCAATTTTAACCAAAGTTGGTACAAAGCATCCTTGGGTCAAGGGGCGTTTAAATTGTTAAAATGAAGGGCCAAGCCTCATTCCAAGGGGAGATAATCAATAAAAGACAAAAATAAGGTGGAGTCATTAAAAAATCTTCTTCTCAAGAACAACTAGGCCAGATAAGCTGAAACTTAAGAGGAAGCTTGCTAAGGTAAGGAATATACTAAACTGTTTAAATCATAGCCCCCTGGGTAGGGTAGGACCATAATGGGGAATCAAAGTTTAACTTTAAAATATATAGGAAAAATCTTTAAAAATCTTCTCAATAACCACTGGGTCAGTAAAGCTGAAACTTCTATGGAGGCCTCCTGAGGTAGTGTAGATTCTAACTGTTCAAATCATGGCCCCGGTGATAGGGAATCAACGTTTCACATTAAAATAAAAAGAAGAAATCTTTAAAATCTTCTTAAAAATCTGAAACTTGTGGAAGCTACGTGGAAGGTAGTATAGATTCAAAATTGTGCAAATCATAGCCCCCAGGGTAGGGTGGGACCTTAATGGGGAATCAGTTTAACATTAAAATATATAGGAAAAATCTTTAACAATCTTCTAAATAACCACTGGGTCAGTAAAGCTTAAACTTATGTCGAGGCCTCCTGAGGTAGTGTAGATCCTAAATTGTTCAAATCATGGCCCCCGGTGCTACGGTGGGACCACAATAGGGAATCGAAGTTTTATATTGAAATATATAGGAAAATTCTTGAAAGGGTGAATGAAAAAAATGACCATATTCATATTTATCAACCTGCACTAAAAATGCAGGCAATTGGAATAAATTTCTAGGTATTAGCATATGTCTTTGGATAGTGACTAAACATCTGCCAAATATCCCACTGATATCTCAATTCGCAAAAAAGTTATGCCCAAAAAAGATGCTAAAAATGTCAGGAGTGAAACACCTTTTTGTGACGTTTTGAAAATTCAGTATTTTTTGAAGATCTGTGAAATAAATAATAATGGTTTATGTTGTAACTGTAGCAACTTTTGTGTGACCAAGTTGTGGTCATGGCTGATGTTGAAAAAAATGTCATACCATGTCAGGAGTGCAACAGAAAAAGTGTAGTATTGCCAAAAAATCAGCTATTTTAAAAATCTGAAAGACAATTAAGTCCAAAAATAATTTTCAAAGTATAAAACAATAACTGATATACAATTTGAAACTTAAAAAATGTTGTATAAATCACAAGCAGCATTAATGAGAGTCAAGTATCTGTGCATACCCGATAATGTCAGGAGTGCAACATTTGATGTTTTGCTCCCCAGCATGGAAAAACTTTTATCAGTATATGATTCTCTGATTTTGGAAAATAAAGGCATAAAGAAATTTTTTTCAATTCAAAAATATTTCTCAATTAAAAAGTCTGTGTTTCAGATCTACATTTCTATGGTCAATTTTTCAAAGATTCAAGTTACATGATGAAAAGACTTCTATTCATGCTAAGATGTATTCTTTGATTTTTAATCATCTATATGAAGAATTTAGTACAAAATTGTTGAAATTTTTGTCATTAAAATCCTTCTCTTTTTCAATTTTACCAATTCAGGTGTGTTTTTATCTTTTCTTTGGTTTTTATGAATGTAAAAATAAACACACTGAAAAATTGTTATAAAATTCAAGTAATTCACCCTCAATTTCACTGAAACAACATAACACGCTATGATGTAATTTTCGCTTCACAATTCTACTTTAAAGACTCCCATGCTTTTGGTCAGGAGTGCAACAAATATGTTAGAATTATTGCTGATCAAATATGAATAATATAAAGAAAAAACTGATGATTAGAATGTTTTTGGTTGACCTCAGTTGCTTACAGTGTTTGTCCTGTGATAAAAAAAAATATACTATAAGATATATTTTATCTTCTAAATATATATATTTTAGCTAGTTTTTTGACATAAATAGGGAATAATTCAAGATATAAAGCCAAGTTTAAATACTTTCATGTGTCTTAATTATGAAGTATTGGACAATTAATATTGCACAATATCGTTAACGCTTGATGTTGTCAACACTTTATGGATTTTTTTTTTTTTGTTCTACGGTTTTTAATTTATAATTTACTGCAGTCAGGAGTGCAACAAAACTGTTTTATAATTATCGATGATCTTCAGCTATCTTTACTGAAAAATAAATTGAAAAAAATGTTTTATACTATTTGATGTTCATAACATTATGTCTATCAACTGATTACAGACATTTTACAGTCAATTTAGGGTCACTTTAAAATCGTATATTTTTTGTAAAAATACTTGTATGTCAAAATTCCTTTTTGGCTTAGATTTAAAGAATTGACTTAAATGTACCAAAAAGTGATTTGGGGGAACTTTATTGTTACATATTTCTTTCATATAAAAACTTTTCAAACCAGAATTGAAAAAATAATATGAAATAACAATCAAATTTTTTTTTCACATATACAAGAGATGAAACTCAATCAAGGTTTAGATCTAATCATTTATATCCCTGATAACATTTTGAAGCCAAAAAAACTATAATTTCTTTTGATTATGTATTTTATAAAGTCTTTTAGGATGTAGTGATATTTGCTTTTTTTTCAAATAAAGTTTTACAAATAAAAATCCTGGAACTTTTTTATGCAATTGTCTATTCTATTGCAACTTCAGGAAATATAACTAGAATGTATGTACAATATAATGATATAAATGAAAAATATTTTATGGGTAGCTGAATTTTCTCAAAACATTATAATTTGATTGTCATTATTTTTGAATTCACCCTAAAAATCTTCTTCTCAAGACCCACTAGGTCAGAAAGGGTGAAACTTATGTGGAGGCCTCCTGAGATATTCTAAATTGTTCAAATCATGCCCCCCTCCCCTCAACCCTCCCCGGGTTAGGGTGGGGCCACAAAAGGAATCAAAGTTTTACATCGAAATTTACAGGAAAAATCTTTAAAAAATCTTTTTCACAAGAACCACTGGGCCAGAAATGCTGAAACTTACGTGGAAGTTTTCTCGGGTAGTGTAGATTCTAATTTTTTTAAATCGTGGCCTCTGGGGGTAGGGTGGGGCCACAATATGGAGTCAATGTTTTTTATTGAAATGTATAGGAACAAAAGGCCCAGGACTTTAACGGTCACCTGAGTATTATACAACACTGTAAAGGATCCATAGAATATGATAATGAATGCAAAATATACCAATACAATATACACTTGCCTATTTTGTAAGGTATTCAATATATACAGATATGTTTTTGTCACTTGCCAAGTGCTACAATTCAGTACACACAGACTTGGGTATACAAGGTGGCTATTTGCCACTTGTCACTAATTACAATAAGTCACCCTGGCTCTCTGTGATTCTTTGTTGACTTTGATAAAGTATAAAACAAAATCCAGTTTCTTGTCAACCATGAATCTTCTCCCAGTGACAGTAACTTAGATCACCACAGCGTAAACATACCATGTACAATTACACCTTTTGCTAAATATATAAATAATCTTTATGTTTATCTTTTATACTTCTTTACAGGCAAGAATCTGACTTTGAGCATGTTTGCTCATTTAAACTAAACATTCATTTTTATTTTAAATCAATATATATAACATTTTTTTTCTTGTATTCTCATTCAATCAAATAACCTGTTAATCAAAGTATATACAAGGATTTCTTGATTAACAACATTTAGGAAAGGTGAGTAACTCTGATTTGCTTCACTTATCACAATTCTGTACTCTGTTTGCCTCCTAGATACCCAAAAGCAAAGAATAGGCACATTTACTTATATAATCATATTTAATACATTTACATTGATATTATTGCATTTAGTTTGCTTGCTTAGTACTCAGGGGCAGAGGAGAAGATTTTCAAACCATTAATGCTTTTTTGCTAATTAATCAATAGAGCCCCACCCAAGCGCAAGAACACCTGACCCAGGGGCCATGAAATTCTTAATTTTGGAAGAGGCACCCTTTCTCATCATAACTATGTATTTAGTTTGTTTAATTAATACCAAGATTTTCAAAGAATTAGTGCATTTACACTACATATAATCATTAGAGCCCCGCCCTAACACCAGAACCCCTCACCCAGTGGCCATGAAATTCACAATTTAGCAAGAGGCACTCTTACTCATCATAACTATGTACTTAATTCATCGGCTTAATACCCAGGTTTTCAAAGAATTAATGCATTTACACTGTATATAATCATTAGAGCCCCGCCCTAACTCCAGAACCCCTCACCCAGTGACCATGAAATTCACAATTTAGGAAAAGGCACTCTTGCTCATCATAACTATGTACTTAGTTCATCAGATAAATACCTAGGAGCAGAGGAGAAGATTTTTAAAGAATTAATGCATTTTTATATGGTACTAAAGGTGAGTGTTGTGGCCCATTAGGCTCTTGTTAAAATTTAAAAATCGTCTAAAACTTTTTTAGTTTAGACAAATAATCGAAAAATGCTTTCATGACGTTAAGAACTATGCTCCATTGTTAACATTTGCTTGGTAAACGACGTCATTAAACTACATAATGCGTAACATAAAAATACGTGAAAGCGATCGAGAGGGTGTTGTAACTGTTTCCGTCGAGTGATATAACTGTTTCCGGCGTGTGACATGATGACTGTTTGTGGTGTGATTCAGCATTCTTCAGGGTTTATATATATCTTAATGTGAATGACATGAAGTCAATTGAAACTAGATACTTTGCTATTCGAAGAAATGGCGTGTCACCCCTAACTGACCTTTATTAGTTTCCATGGTAAAGGAAGATCATGCGCAGAACTACACTGGCATGGTATTTAACATCACAATGAAGGTTCTTTTAGATTGTAAAAGCATTCCAGGGACCATTTGTTAGGGGAGACATAATTACAGTAATTTAGATGTCTTAAAATTCAAATACATGCAAGTTTCTGATATTAATTTTCTAGATCAAGAACCCGATAAATAACAGTCACAGACAAATCATCTACAAAGGCTTTGTAAGTCGGCTTTTTTAATAATTAAACCCTCACATCCAACAAAAAGAGATTGATTTACTACATGAAATAGACACATTTATTACTGTAAGAAGCGAAACGCAGAATCACGTGACGCTGTTAGTTTCTGTCTTTGACGTGTCAGTCTTCCGTCTGCGATTTGTTCGGTGCTGAACCACCAAACGAACTGCGCTGGTTGTGAGCAGGACAACACAAGCATCTGTCATCCTGAAATGACAAAAATAAAATATGAAAAAATCTTTGCTTGGATTGACAACTCTTCGACAATAGACTCGGTTCTTACTGATCAAAATTGTGCTTTTTTTCTAGATGTTGTTTCTCCTTTGCGAATAACCGTAAAATTCTCCCCGATTCTCTAAACAAAATTGTTTTCTTTTACAGGAAAGTGTATTTATTACGTAAACAGGTAGACAAGTCAACATCAAACCATATTATTCTTTACATATTATTTTTTCATTTCGGTGAACGGTCATAGAATAAAATGTTAAAATAAGCCCACCCAAAAAAGAACTACTGTAATGTTCTTAAAGTAAATGGTATTTTTGTCCAATGAAAAACATGGGATCAAATTTAGAAAGATAATATTTAGCTTCTGAAGAAGAAAGAAGAAAATGAAATAAAGCAACAATAAAGACAGATTTTTTTCAGAATAGGAAATATGTATTCCCTGGGGAAACTTTTTCTCTAAGAAAGGATGAATCTTGTCTAAAGTAGCATGCTTGTCGATTTTCTTTCTACAATATTGATGTTTAAATTCTGGAATACTTTTTGTGGACCCGAACCTGGCCAGTGACCTCGAGAAATGAGATTGAACACTGACCATGACGCTAATATTCCCTAACTATAAGATAGAGCTTCATATACATGACAATTTTATCACACATATTACAGTATTATCCTATCTAATCCGTCATGATTGCTTTAATCAATGGTGGATCACATCTTCAATCACAGCATTAGATAGAAGATTCCATGATTACGCGCTTCAATTATACAGGAATTTTTTTTGAAAAAAAAATTAATGTAAGGGGAAAAAAGCACCACTATGAAACAAGATGTGTTTGTGAAACACTGATGCCCCAGTATGGCTCTGCTCATGGCTAAGGTTAAAGATTCTCAAGAGATTGAAAATATTGGTACCACAAGGAATACATCTATGAGATATAAAAGCCCTAGCAACAACCATTCAAAAGTTACGGCCAAGGTTAAAATTTATGGCTAAGGTTAAAGTTTTTTCAGAAGTAGTCAAATTCCATATTTGCTGATACTCATCGGAATGTCTTGTCAAAAGAAATGCACCTGTGAAATATGAAAACCCTAGAACTAACCGTTCAAATGTTATGGCCAAACTCAAAGGTCAAGGTCAAAATAGTTGGTACCTGAGGGAAGGTACCCTCACAATAGACCTGTGAAATATAAAAGCCCTAGCCCTAACAGTTCAAAAGTTATGGCCAAGGTTAAAGTTTTTTAAAATTATGTCAAATTCCAAGGTCAAGGTCAAAATTGTTGGTACCCAAATAAAGGCCTTATCACAAAGAGTACACCTGTTAAGTAAGAAGGCCTTGCACAACTGTTCAAAAATTATGGCCAAGGTTAAATTTTAGTAAAATTTTGAAAAAAAAAAAGTGGGACAAACTCCAAGGTCAAAGTCAAGAGGTCAAATATGTTGGTACCCAAAGAAAGGTCTTTTCACAAGGAATACACGTGGAAATATAAAAGCCATAGCCCCAACCAATCAAAAGTTATGGGCAAGATTAAAGTTTTTGCAGATAAACAGATAAACAAACAGACTGACGGACAGAGCAAAAACTATTTACCCCCGAATCTTCGAATATATGGCCAAAAAATATATTTATTTGGGAAATTAGTGGGAAAGCAGATTTGTTTCATTCTATTATTCGAAATAATTATCTGTAAACCGTTATATTGAAAGAGGTCGTCGCTTCCCTTTGTATATAACAAAGTATTTAGGAATGTTATCCCATTGGGCAAAATTACGGATCATATGATAAGTCCTGAAAATAAGATCGTATGTGTTATATATAAGTATTTATTTGAGTAGTTTCGTACAAGTAGTCAAACGAACTCTTGGATTTATTGTATTAAAAATATAATTGATCTCTGTGGATACCCAAATGCACGGAATGAACAAGCTTTTATAAATATTAAATGCTTTAAAACTCTAGTTGAACAACGTCTCAAAGATCAGTATATAAATGGCAAAGCTACAAACACGATTCGTCCAAAGATCATATACATGTATATAGTATCTTCAAAACAGTTTGAATTTGAAAAAAAAATGTTTAAAATATTACTAAAAAATTTAAAACAATTTCAATTAAATTTAGACTGCAAATCATCGTCTTCCAGTTGAGACAGGGAGATGGTGTGGAATTCTATTCCACCAAATGATAAACTTTGTAATATCTGTAATAAGGGACAAAAAGCAGATGAATATTATTATATTCTAGAATGTCAAATTTTTTTCCAGAAAAAAAAGCATCTCCTAAAAAGTATTGTAACAGACGAATTGTTACAATTTTTTTTAGAATTATTGTAAACTGATGACTCCAGAGTATTAATTGAATTGTGTAACTACATATCTAAAGTATATGGACAAGTCTGTCCACCATTATTATTTTTATCTACCCAACTTTTACGTATTTCCGCTATTCCATCTTTTATATTGTCTTTGTGTATATTGTACATTGAACCTCGTGTACCACTACATGTATGAGGTTTGAGAAATTAAATTGAACTTGAACTTGAAAGATTAATTATTTTGATAATAAATGTTTATTTTCGAAACGTGCACATTGCAGAGGAACTCAGGTATATTGATCAAAATTTCATCCATATTGCATCCAAATTAATCCACATGAAATTAATTAATAAAAAGAGACGTATAATTAATTCATTTCTATCATAGTGTTAGTTTGGTAAATCAGTTTTTCGTAAGGCCAATGTCATAAGTTAAGAACCTCTGATGAACAGTATATTCAACTCGCCCTTTGGGTTCAGCAAATACTGTCATTCTTTGGTATTTGTCAAGAATAAATATTGCGTTACAATTCTTTTAACGAATAGAGGACCAAAAAAAAAAAAAACAAAACAAAACAAAACAAAAAAAAACAAACAAAAAAAACCCCTCTCATTCGAATATACAGGTTGGTTTATAGTCTACATTTGATCTTTTGTATACAATTTAAATTCATTTAATTATTAATTATCATTTTTTGTTGTTGATTGTCGTAACACCGTCCCCTGACGTAGCACAAGGTTGCACCATTGTTATCTAAATGTGACGTAATTAAAACTTGATACCAATAACCCGTGTTAGAACGCACTTTGAAAAATTACGCACTTGGAAAATTTTTTTTTCAAAGTGCGTTAAATTTGGGAGCAGGTTAACACACTTTAAAAAAAAAAATTCTTTTCAAAGTACATTAATATTGACCATATTAACGCACTTTGAAAAAATGTACATGGCTTGGTCGATATTCTTTTAGGTATGATAAATAATTATTTGAACCCAGTTGGATAACTTTTCGGTGATGACGTCACTTCAGGATTTGAGATATAGACTTTATAAAGACTTTTAGAGGCTGTCTTGTTTTCAAAAGTTCTCGTAAAATGTTATAAAATGGAAATTGGTCTTTGAGGGATAATGGTAGAATGATTGTTTAATAGCACAATTTCGTTTCTTTCTTTCTTTTTTTTTTCTATTTCATCCAATCTGTAATTAGTTTGGTAGATGTAGAAGTCGATAAGTGACTTAAAGCATCGCGATTTTTCATAGGGAAAAGAGAGCAATTATGATTTTTTCATACCATGAAAATGCTCTCTACTTATCTATCAATCTATCATATTCATCTATCTATCTATTGTGAACAAATACAAATGTATGAAACAATGGTTGACTCATTTGTTTGATAGTAAGAAAAATAAACCCTAGCCACATTACTCACTCGACTGAAATTTTTACCTCGTTCACTAATAACTTTTTCTAAAAAAAAAAAATCTTATAAACAAATGTTATGCATACTTCTAAATCTGCAATTTGATATCATAAACAGGCTAGACATGTCAAATAGAATGTTTTAATTACCCTGTAAATGGATTGCTTTTTTTCCGAGGAATCATTGTGGATACATTTTGAATAAGAGTTATGCCCTTAATTCATCAGTTTTTCGAAAGAAATATAACAAAATAATACTATTACTAAAATCTAAGTCCAGAATTTTTGTTTTATACTTTTTCAAAGTGCGTTAAGTGTCTCCATGGTAAAAAAGAAAATGTGGATGTACACTCTTAACGCACTTTGAAACAAATTTTCCAAGTGCGTTGATTTTGTCCCAAATTTAACGCACTTTGAAATTTTTTTTCAAAGTGCGTTGATTTTCCCCCAATTTTAACGCACTTTGAAAAAAAAATTCAAAGTGCGTAATTTTTTTCAAAGTGCGTTGCCACAAACCTAATATATATATAATATAATTGATCGTTAATGGGATGTAGCCTGACGTTATATAGTACAATAGTAACAAACACACAAATATATAATTAATACGATGTCGAAAGCTCATCAGAAACAAATTGTGATATTTGATAATAAAATCAATATTCATTCCTCATATAGGGCTCCATAGTTGCGTATTATTTGCACATCAGTCACTTCTGTACTTTTGCTAATTAGTGATTATAGCGTACATCAATCTTACATGGAAGGAATATTTCCATCAATATTATATGCGTTTAAGATGAAATCTTACCTGTCAAAAAATCGTAATGTCAACTGTTTCTGAATATCCTCATTTATTTTCTGCTTCCAGAAATTGTATACACGGCACACTTTGATTAGAGAAGCAACACAGAGTACAACTGTTAAAGTATAACAAAGGTACAACAGTCTGTGAAGAAGACGACCTTGTTGAACGCGATAAAAACTCAGGAATGATAGAGAATTCGGTAAGGTGATGGCAGATGGGAACAGAAGTTCCAAAGGTTGATTTTTGTCGCTACAATCAGAATTCATACTAATAACTTCACTATCTGCTACGTAACCACTACCTAGATTTCGTCTACTAATTCTTGTTATTCCTGAACTATTAGATGAAGCAGGGCTAATGTTGTGTTTAAATTCTAGATCATTAACACCCAAAGTATCAGATTTATGCAAATTGCAACAAGATCGTGGAATTTTTAGAGTTAATGGTGCAGAATCCGATCCTTCTCGGGGAAATGACATTGACCTATGACCTTTTCTGCAGTTGGGTATTCCCTCACAGTCCCTTTGATTCCTCAAAGCAAAAGATTCGCCATTGAGCTCGTCGAATAAATTTGTGTCTGACGTTCGTTTGACACTTTCATATTTACATTCTTCTTTTGTGAAATTACATGCCGACGATTTAGAAACCCATCTGTAAAGTGAGATATGTCTACAGGTGCTGTATTCCACGGTCGATGACTTGGTTTGTTCTGTCAAACATTCAGAAGATTCTGAGTCACTGACTAATTTCACCAAGTTCCCGCAATTTCTTAGACGAGGGGCTTTTACGCGCTTCATAGAAGACTCGCGCGAAGAATAATTTCTTTTTGATAGCGTATGAATGCTAATTTCACGCTTGACATTTCTTAATTCTTTTGTGTATTTGGAAAGTTTTGGAGCACTCAAAATAAAACATATCATATGATAGAACGCGTAACAAATAAAAAATATATCCGATAGAGTCATCAAATTCATGTCAAAACAGGTAATAGATTTTAGGATTTGGAGAGTTATAGCCAATAATATCATACCGCAGGTAGTGAGAAGAACACATTTAATTCCATTATATTGAATCGGTCTAACATCAAGGCGAGTCAGTCTTAGAATTATAACTTGAGTCAGACAGAAACAATTTATAAGGAAAGGGAAAGACAAACTTCTCACTAAATCAGAATACTGGCTTACAGATTCAAATAACAGAAGAACCAAGGATAGAATGGAACAAAGGTTTGTTATTTCTATGTATATGACTAAAAGAAATACATCCAGAAGCTTAATTGTTCTTTTTCTGTAGTGTATGAACAAGAGTCCATTTGTCACACCGATCACCAGAAATATGCACAGAAATACAGACACAAACACTAAAAGTTTCCAGGAATAGCTCCACTGCGTATCTCTCACCAAACCAGACGAAAAGTTTACCCCCGTGAGGTTCATGGATGTTCTATAAAATTTCCGTATAGTTTTAGGTCCCGGATTAGCGAGGATAAACGTTTTTCATTTCCAATAAACAAAGCGGTCATCCAGCGTCAATAAGGATTCCCAGCAGCTGTCATCAACACTCTTCTTATTGTGGTTAACAGAAACAACACTATCGTCCCTTCACTATACAAGTACATCTTGGCGGCCTTAGTAATTCCTTAAACTAATGTGAATACAATACTGTATTTCTTATTAAGTCATCATCGATCATATTTGGAGAACTGTCTGCACCAATATTCTCACCAACATCGACAAGAGTGCTGAATATCGGTTTATGAACCTTTCGTAATTGGTATCACTTGTTACCCCATGTGTTAATGGATGCCTCTGTACGGTAATTCTGAGAGATGGATTCTAATGAACAAGCTCCATGCAGCACAGTTTTCACACTTTGGGGAATAGGATATGTCAAAGTGTTGCTGCAAAATACAAAACTTGAATATCAATGTCCTCTCCTTTCAAAGCACATTACGAACTCGAAATCAGATGCTTCGATATATTCGTTCAGTCTTTGTGAGAAGGACCTGTTGGCCCTTTCTATTGTTTTCAGTTAAAAAACTGCATTGTTAGTTATTAAAACAATTTAAAAAAACAATAATGTATCCTAATTATTTACATAATTTTTCAGAATTTTCTCTTTTTTGTGAAAATTATATTCAGAACTGTGACATACCAAAATTAAAGCTACATGTACAAGGTATTGCAAGAGTCTCGTTAATCAATACAATTGCGGTAAACAGTGACTCATGTACAATCATTGCTGAGCAAGTTTTTCAAGAATTTCAGTTTACAAAATATTTTTCTTTCTATTTTCATTTCGTGCATATAATAAATAAAACACTAAAACATAGAACTTTGAACAAATCTATCTAAATGGGTGTACAATGCTTCAAAGCAAACAACAATTTTATATGCTTTGACCAATTTGGATAATATGGACCAATAGATACCGGAAATAAGTATATCATCAGCGCTGGTTCTATTCAATTGATCGACTATTTCCTGCTATTACAATCTTATCAGTTGTAATTACGATACAAGCCTGTGTTCAGCAGATGGCTTACTATTCATTTTTGTTTCATAATTCATTAAAACTAACATATAAAAACAGAAAGATTAAAAACACGTTGAGACAGTTTCTGAAGTTTTGAAATGCATGTAATACTTTATTTTAAAACATGTGTCAGATGCACTTAATTTTCTTTTTAAAAATATAATTTTACAGATCAAAATGACGTGATATCGTTCAAATTCAGCAAATCAAAAATACGTAAGGATTACTGACAAATATCTAATTTGCATTCGATCGCCGATATTCTGTAGAGAATGTAATGATGATATGTGGGTGTTTAATTCATTTCGAGCATGTAGAAACGAGTCGATAAATAAAATCCGGCAAAAACAAACTTAATCATCTCACTCCTCACTCTTCATTCACTTCCCAGTATATTATTTCATTTACTTGCAATTCCAGTGCAAGCAATTCCAGCAAGATCGTTGTATAAAAATTATAGAAATCAATTCACAATTCAGATACATGAACGCCTATTTTCTCTCCGTTACCGTAGGCAAAAAAATGAGTCTAAGTACATGTAACTTGAAGAGAAATATTTTCATGTTACCATTTTAAAAAGAAATAATTTCTCTGATGTTCTGAATCTATGAATGTTCTGGATATTTTTTTTTTCAGGACTATATTAACTTAAGGTAGTACATAACAAAAACGCCTAATTATTCCTATATGCAATTTTTCTGATTTTTTTTTTAATTTGTTTTAGGAATTACAACCTCTAATTATGTCAGCTTTGAAAAAAAACTGACCCTTCCTTTTTTCATGTATAATTTCAAAAATAGCATATCAGGCTTCAATATGAATAGTGTGAAATCAAACATCTAACAATTTTCCTTTCTAAATCTTAAATATTACAAATATGAAACTCTTTTTAAAAAAGATCCATTTGTGAATAAAATACAGTAGAATACTGTTACTGATTTCTTTGTGTACACCATGGTTTAAAAATGGAATCTAATAGCTTTGTGAGTGACGAATCTATGAGTAAATACGCTACATTGTAAGGTTTCTTATAAGAAAGGGTATAATTAAAATTACAATCATAAATTTTAATGTTCATGTTTAGACCATACACATAGGCATGTAGCTTTCGTTATATCATCAGATTGTTTGCCTAACAAATTTTTGTTCCGCAGAGAATTCAAAAAGTTTAAAACTATGTTTCTCAGTTGTTAATGCAGTGTGACTATGTTTGATACGTAAATGTTGACCCTCTCGAATAAGTAAATTTTACAGATTTGGAACTGCCGATGCGTTTAAAATATTTCCAGACATCAAAGATTGAATCATTATTGCTAACCATGCTGTATTTTATTTAAAATTCGTACTGAATGCCAATCATGGCGTGTCCCTGACTACCGCGGGTTGTAGAGTAGGATTTCCCCCATAGTCAGCTTCCCCCGGAATCTGTACAATTAAGCTTGTAGAGTTTATGTATATAGGTGTGGTACGTTTTTTTTAAAACATGGTATTCCTTTTTCTGACAGTGTCAAAATCTGTATTATAACAAGTTTTTAAGTGTATTTAAAGTAGATTCAAAATTTTATTACTTTATTTTACATTTAACAATCCGGAAGACAAGCCCCTATGCTTATAACGTCCAATTCTTCGTTTTTGTGGACCCCCCCCCCCCCGAATATACCCCCGGGTCAAAAAATATTTTTATGTCTTTTTTCATAAACTATTCTTCTAGTACACATTTACAATGTATTCCATATGAAAAATCCATAATACTGCGGGTATGATTTTTTAGTAAAACGTTAATTCTGCGATATTTTTTGGATTTTTCATATAGAATACATTGTAAATGTGTACTAGAAGAATAGCTTATGAAAAAAGACATAAAAATATTTTTTGACCCGGGAGTATATTTTTTTTTTGGGGGGGGGGGGGGGTGTCCTGTCCACAAGTACCTGTGTTCTTGACATGTTCGATATTGTCAAAATGTTACACAACACATGATGTCTAATTTAGCCTTTACTAAACAATTCTAATAAATTAGAAGATATAAAACAGATCACCAACACTTCGTGAGACTGCAGCAGGTTTTCGGAGGACTTTATAAAATTACATAAATCTACTGCTGCAGTCTCACGAAGTGTTGGTGATCTGTTTTATATCTTCTAGTTTATAACTTTAGGTACAGACCCTATTGAATACCTTTCGGTATCCACACGTGAGAATCTTCCGCAATTTGAACCTCAGGATGTTGGTCTCCAGTTTTTATTGTTTTGAATTCTAATAAATGTAATTTTATAAAGTCCTCCGAAAACCTGTAATAACTCTCCACATGCCCCTGTGCTAAAAATAGTGCTACGCGACTTTTAATACAAACGGGGATTAACTCTAAAACTTTGAGCGCGATCGATGCAACAAATTTTCAATTGAAAGACGAAACAAAAAAAAACAAAACAAAACAAAAAAAAAAAAAACAAAACAAAACAAAACCAAAAAAAAAAAAAACCGGGGCGGAACATTTTGAGAGGGGCGGGCGGGGCCTTAGGAAATTATGGTATAAGATTTGTCCCCTCAACCCCAGGGGTGTAATATTGGATTCGAAAGCAGAGAGAAAATACTCTCTTAAAGTTTTGCTAAATTTCAACTTTTTAGAAAAAAAATACCCACTTTTAAATCTATGTGAAGAAATTTTGGAACGTTTATTTATGCACGAACTATTTTCTTTTTAACATTCTTCGTAAAGGGGACGAAAATCGAGAGTTTAGCCGCGATTTTTTCTTATATTTCGCAGTGAAAATACCACTTGCAAAAAGATCACTTTATTTAAAGCATAAATATAAGTTTTCACTGCTGAAAAAGAAATAAATTGGATACTTTCTACGAGCTATAATGATGAACAAAAAATCGTCTTACGCTCGGTCTGTTAATTTCTTTCCTTTGTAGAACCTGATATTTAAGTAATATGATTAAACAAGAGATTGGCACAAAATAGAGAATTATAAAGAAAAGTCTGAAATACAGATTTCCATCATAATGAAATGTAACTGAAATATTTCGCATCTAATGTTTTGAAAAGAGGGAAGGAATCTAGATGACACAGTGCCCTAAATATTACAAGACGTAGTTAATCTCCCATAAGCCCAGCTGTAGAAATTTAATTTTGCAGAAGAAATGCATCATGTGCATCATGTTAGCATGCAATTTTAAACATTAAATATTTTTGTCAACGTAATGGATTAACACTTATTGGTTGATCCGTTTCTAAGGCGATATCCGTAAAAGAATGTTTCTTTTTAAAAACGAAAAAAGTACAAAAATGCTGTTTTCATAAATTCTGGAAACTATAATGGAGCGGAGAAGTCTTGCTATATAGCGGAGAAGAATTAACTATATTTATTGAGTCTTCTTACCAAAGAATGGCTATAATGCGAGATTTGCCCGAGAGAAGGCTCACTAAATAGCTGGTTTTTCGGGAAAAGGGCTTACTTTATAGCCAAATTTTTAAGGGAAAGGCTCATCATATAGTAATTTGCAACATTATTTTGTTAAAAACATTCTGATTGTACACACAAGTACTCTGAAGTTGACATTAAAAGGTTTGAGTTTTTGATTGACAATATCTATGTAGTTTTTGGAGACCAGGTCTTTCAGCAATCTGTCGGAACTCCCTTGGGTACCAATTGCGGCCTGTTATTAGCAGACCTATTCTTGTATTCGTATGAAGTAAAATTTATTTAAAATCTTATACATGACAAGAAGAGAACACTTGCTGTGGCCTTCAACTCGACATTTAGATATATCGACGACGTATTATCAATTAACAATAGTTTCTTCCATTCATATGTCAACTCGATATATCCCAGTGAGCTTGAAATAAAAGATATCATACAGTCTGACACACCTGTTTCATATTTAGATATTTTACTAGAAAAAGACGTTGATGTTAATCTAACAACCAAGCTTTATGATAAACGTGATGACTTCAACTTTTCAATCGTCAACTTCCCTTACTTATGTGGCAAT